CCAAATACAGAAAATGGCTTCCTCTATAAAACAACGCCAATTGCTTTGGCGAAAAAGTTTGGTCACACAATCAATATAGGGTTATAAGAAGATTGATGGATAAAAGCTAGCGTCAAGCTCACTCCGCCCAGTTACCAATTCCTAAATTGACCAAATATCCTCAATTTTAAGTATAATTTGCAATTCAGGTATAAATTACGACAGAAATAAGTAGACGGAAACGCAGAGTAATGAACCGTAACCGCTAAAATATGAATATTCTGTCGTCATAATATTTATTTTGAAGCGTTCGTTAGAACTCGTTGGTTAAAATTGCTATATTTTATCAACGTATGCTTTATCATTTATTCTATCATGCATGAAGAAATGTAACATTTATATTTTAAATATGTTTTTGTCTGTTTTTTGAAGAATATAAGATTTTATGTTCCAGTTTATTGGTTAAAATATATTAGTGAGTGTTTGGATTATTAAGTTAGCTAATATATTCTTAGTTTTGAAATTTTTTCTAAATTCATAATGTTATAACTTTAATTGTATTTTTCTATAAATAAAACAAAGACTTTAAGGTATTTCTGGGTATTTAAAATAAATCCGAATGTCCTTAACACAGCGGTTAATCAGTACTTTGCTGCATCTTGTGACTAAAACTCTCCAGTCTTAGTCTAGATATTATCTCTCTTGTTGATGATAAACATTGTCAAAAATTCCTTAATGTTTTTTTAAGTTTGATGACCTGTTTTTAAATTTCCCCGTATCTTTTATTAATTACTGATTTAAGTACACAGAATACCTATTCATGCTCCAGGGATGAGATTTTTCCGCTTTTTAGCGGATTTCCGCTTTTTTCACTTTTATCACTTGAATTTCAGCTTTTTTGTCAAAAATTCAGATTTTTCTAAAAATTTCAATTTTTTTATAAGTATTCCGCTTTTTCAGAAAATTTACCGATTTTCAAANTTAACTCATCATCAAAATTTTATTTATAATTGCTGTTATTTATGCTATAAAATGTGAAATTCTTATCAAATAAAAGACAATTATCTAAACAGTTGCTGATTGTCATGTAATTTTTCAAACTAATATAGCAATTTTTGTATGTTAAGGAGTTACTATATATTTCTACTTCACCGTTATTGATATGTTTCAAAGGGCTCTAGTTAGATTAGACTATAATTTGAGCATAATGATTCGGTCCATTGTTAAAGTTTTTTTCCCCAATATAATTTAAAAAGTAATATTACTGATATATTTGCTATAAATCACATAACAGTATTTATTAAAAGAAATGAAATATTAATGTATATTCTCAGTAGTTTTAATTTGCTGAACCAGGTAGTTTTTCAAGTAATAATTGTTTCTTATGTGAACTGAGGAAAAATATAATTTCCAGCTTTATTTTTTCAATTGGTAATTTTTATTTTCACTAAATGTTAAGTATTAATGTAATCATTTATATAATAATAAATTAGTACCAATTGTATGTCAACACATTATTTATTACCTTAAACTGTCTGAAATTTATTATTAAAGGGTTGCGCTTGCGTAAAATTTACTATTGGGGAAATTCAGCTTTTTTGCCTTTTGGCAAATCTCATCCCTGATACTCTTCATACATGCATGCATGATTTCTCATTATATTTTTCATCCTATACACTTAGTAGTAGTTACTGTGCTTCAAACATTTTTAGGTACTTTTTGTTTCGCTGGGCTCAATGAAATTCAACTATTTTTTTAAAATCTTTATTTAATTGAATTTTTTAGTGTTTGAAAAAATAAATAAAATTAAAAATGTTAGTGGAGGTCTACTAGTCGTCTTTTTGGTGCCTTTTTACTTGTGCCTGTCAAACCTTTAAGTACAGTTTTTATTTTATTACAAAATTCATGGTCTCTGGAAGATTCCCCTATCTTCCGGCAATTTCCGGGCAGTGGTTCGCAAGAAACTAAAAAAAAAAAATCACAAAAATGAACCAAGTCGAAGGGTATAACCTGTAGCCATCCCTGGGCAAACCTCTACCAGTTTTTTTTAAAAACTTTTCCCGTTTAAAATCAATTTGGTTCCTTGGTGATATTAGTTGGTGTGGCAGATCACAATATGGAAATATCCCTGTGGTCTGCACAGCTAAACAGGTACATACCTTAACAAATAGGCTGATAAGATTTGACGCAGGTGGTTTTTCATTTAAAACTCAAAGGAAAAGTTTCTGTATCTCTATCTACCTCAAAATAAATGCCAAGGGAAAAACAAAGAAAACAATTTCAGGAGGGATCTAACTGAAAGGGTAAGATTCATAGTTCTATCTAGGTAAAAAAATTTTTTTTTTACAAGATTGCATTTCGTTGGCATTTGTTTAGTTTTCGTTTCATATTTTGAATTGGATGTTTACGTAGCCTTTTTTATTTTCCTTTTTTTGATTTTTATTAAGATTGCATGAATTAGAATGTTTGCACAATTGCTTTAAGTTAGAATTTTAACAACATCAATATCTGAATTTTGTAATTTTGATTTTATTTTCCTTCAGTTTTTCTAGTTTATTCATTAGTGACCCTTTTTCTAACTACTGTCCCAACACACAATAACACATTTTAAAATAACAAACACAAGTTTTGGTTTTGAATTATTTGTGTTTGTTTACAAAATGTGGTCTTACTTGAAGTAATGTAAAAACACACAAAGGTGTTTTTATGACGAAATGGGAAAATTTCTTAACATTTCTTCAAAATTCTATTGTAATCTATTTCCTTAGAAATATAGTCTCTAAAATAATCAATGAATTTTATTTAAAATATTTCTATATTTTCTTATTAATTGATTCATATAAAAAATTAAATATTTCCTGTACATGTTTTTAAGAATTTAAATAAGGGGATGATAACTGCATTCTTACGTGCAATTAAAATTTAAAACTCTCTAAATATTTATTTTTATTGCTGTTCGTTCATTTGTGTACTTAAATGTATGGTATTAATATAAAAATTAATTATGACATGAATTTTTTTTAATTGTCTTAAGCAAAAGTTAACGTTTTGAGAAAGTCACAAGAAAAATTACATTTAATAATTGACAGTAAATACTACTTGCAATATTTTAACAAAATATGAATAATCTTACTTAAATGAAAATACAATTTTTTGAAGTTTCTGACAGTCACTGCCAAAAATTTGTTGACCACACTTTTTATGTAAATTATGTTTGGAAAAAAACATTTTTTAAATATCTGGAACAAGTAAACCTATTATTCTAAATGACCAATTACAAAATTATATTGTTATTATTGTGAAAGAAAATAGAATTCCTACTTCAAAAAGTATAATGTACTACTAGCAAATTTTTTTCAATTAATGTTTTACAGTTTTTTGGTTTTGATTCATTGATTCAACCAAAAAAAAAAAAAAAATTAAATTTTGCATTTTAATAATTTAAATCAATAAATTATATTTCCTGCTTTTAATCCAGACCAGAATTGTTCTAATGCTTTTTTATTAATAAAGTATAATTAACAAACTCATTACAGATTGTTTAATATTCAAATTCATTAGTTTCAATCAAACATTGTTTAACATTGGCACCAATTCAAATTATATGATAACCCCTTGTTTATATGATAAATTAAGGTAATAAATCCCTTCTAATATTTATATCACTTCAATTTAGTTTACAGAATTATTCAATATTCAGGCACATAACTCATTTATGCACTGTGTGTTTCAGAATCCATATTTTCTGCAGAAGAAGCATTGGAAGTATTGGATTTTTCCTCATAGACTGAGGGCATTGGAAGTGTTAAAGGTTGAAAAATCTCTGAATCTCATCACAACCTCATGCACAACTCTCGATAAAATTTTAAAAGGTGGAATACCAAGTAACAGAAATTTGAATATAGAAGTAACAGAAATTTGTGGATCCAGAAAAACACAACTTTGGTATTGTTATTGAACTTTTTTTTTACTGATATGTAATCTTTTGTAAGGACAGCTTAAAAAGCACTTTTTTAGGTTTAAAAACAATCTTTTTTTTTATTTTAAAAAGTTTTTATTTAAGATGGTTTTCAATAGAGAAAAATATTTCATAAACAGTGTTTTGATGTAATTATTTTAAACATATTTTCTTGATTTTACACTCCTTCAGCAGGTTCTTCCACCTATCTCTTTCATTAAGTACATTAGATTTTAAAGTTTTTTAATAAACTTAAACATTTAATGTGCTTTATCATGTTATAAAATTTTCTCGTATTATTTCTGAACACATTTTCTCAATTACAAACACTTAATTTCTGTGTTGAAAAGTAAACTTATTGCAATGTTCTCCCTAAGCTTTTTTAGAGGGGCAGTCTGCCCGCTCTCTCTTGATCTCTATAAAAGTGCCCCTCTTTGCCCTTTTGTAAAAATAAGCCACCATCTCTTAAAAGCGCTGCCTTTTATTTTTTTTAGGATAAGGTTGTTTCCTCATCAACTGTTTTTATGAAAAGTACACTTCTGATTTATATAGTGACTGATAATTTAATTTTTAATTTGATTCCTTCATTTTATTAAGATTTTCCTTATGTTGTCGAGTTATATGGTTAATACTCGCATGATGTATCAGGGTTGCAAAAACCCGGGTTTTTGTAGAAAAACCCAGCCCGGGTGGGTTTTATTGGGCTTTTCTGGGTTTTTCATGTTTTTATGGGGGGTTTTTCAAAAGAGAGGGCAGGGATAAGTACCTTATTTTAAAAAAGCTTTTTTAATATTAATAATTAAGTTTAATTTTATAAATTGACTTCATATAGATAATTATTACAAATAAATTGATGTGAAAGTCTAGAAAAAGTTTCTTCTGACACCACAATACAAAATGTTATATGTACTCACATACATCACACATTTGAAACTTATTTTAACACTGGATTACTTTTTATTTATATTTTAATCTTAAAAAATATTTGAGGAAATTTTTTTATTTGCATAAGAAGCGAATCAATGGCACTGAATAATCAATGGCCATACAGTCAAATCTAGCCAGCAAGGTGAGTCTCCAACACAATTAGTTACTTCACTATAGGTTAATTTTTTTAGGCTGGACTACATATATATTTCAATAGAAGAGTGGGTTTTACCCAGTAAAACCCAGGTGGGTTTTATTGGGCAGGTGGGTTTTTTGCAACCCTGTAGATGTATGGCCCCAGAGATATTCACATCTTTTTTTTTGGAGGATACTAAGGAATTTTTTTAGTGGTTTTAATTAAATGCCTTCTATTTAAAAATGCAGCTTTAAATGTTTATTTTCTCATAATTCTCAGTTTAAATTGTAGAAAAAGTTTTAAAGTTGTTCATCAATTAATTCTTTTTTTAGCTTACTTTTTTTGAAGAAAATTTATGCACACAAATTGTTTTTTAACTTGCCTTTAATTATTTTACTAAAGCTTAAAATTTTTCTGTTATTTTGATAATGAATAAGAATTACGTTTTGAAATATACGCATAAAATAATATAAGAGGGTAATCTAAAAATTTGGGATTAAATTCAGTTATTACATAATGTTACATATTTTGATAAACATATTGTTACATACATACATTGTTACATACTGTTCTTTTCTGTGAAGGAGCAACCCGCCCTTTTTATTTTTAGGAAGGACTTGGCTTATTGTACCTTGAATTAAGTTAAAAGAAGTTAGTTAAGAGAAATTAAAGTATGTGTTATTGTTATTAATCGCAATAACACAGAAACACATGTGTATTATATAAATATATACATTCTTAACATATTATAATAAATGTTGCATTTCTCATTTATTAAAATGTTTGTATATTGATGCTTATAAAGTACCTGTATATCACTATAAGGCATTTAATATAAATGTTATATGCTCAAAGTATAACTAATGACTATTCTCATAACTAATGATTTAAAATGTTATGAAATTAATCATCAGATAAATATATTGAGTACTGAGAAATGTTGATTAAAGGATTAAAAAGTGCAATCAAGAATGAAATTGTAATGGCTGTTCTAAAACAGTAGATAACAAAAGAGAAAGTTATGCAGCTGACAGAAAGTTTACCCAGCTGAATAAAATTTGCGAGAAAAAAAATCGAATTTCAGTTTTTTTAATGAAAAGGCAATTTTTTATAGTCATTAAGAGAGCCTAAAGCTTTAAAAGTAATAATAATTTTTCAATTTCTATAGTCATTAAGAGAGCCTAAAGCTTTAAAAGTAATAATAATTTTTCAATTTCAGCCCCTTTTCATTGTACAAAATAATTTTCTGCTAAATCAATGAGCTTATAGAAATAAATATTAACCGTACATAAGAATATGAATTTCATTAAGCGAATCATGTTAAACCAGGAAAATATATATATATATTTCAGGGCTATTCCATCTCAATTCAAACAACTATTTCCAAAATGTGTTAGGAGATAATTTTTTATTTTGAGTTATGAAATTTATCATAAATATATTGGAGAAACAAAGTTTTCTGTGGAAACAAGTAGTTAAAACCTTGACCATAAGTTTTTTTTTTTTTTTAATGTGAAAAACGAATTTTTTTAACTAGGCTTAAAATTTAGATTAAATTAAGAAATTTAGATTAAATTTCTTAAACAATTAGAAAAGAGCACAATTTATAGCAAATAAATATATTGTTGTTTTAATTCCGTTATGAAGAAAGTTCTTCAATATAGAATGGATTCTATAGTAGAGAGGTTTCCAAGAGATGTTCCAGGTAACCCTAAGTTTTCTTGGAAGGGTTGCAGGGGTTCTGAAAGTTCAGAAACCAACTACTTTTTAACCAGTTATGATTTTTAAAATCTGTTATTATATTTACATCTAGTCAGTAATCCATTATTCATTTGCAATTAAATCTACATTATTTAATGATCCAGTCTTCGGTTGTTTTTAAGAAAAACGTCAGTGAAAAAATACTGCAAAATGTAAAGCATATTAGGGAAGAATTATAGTCACATCCAGGCTCAATTATTTTTATGCTATTTGATATTTTTGTTTGCGCTTTCCATAAAATGTTGCACTACTAGTGATACAAATCTTATAAAAGAATCACATGCCCGTTTTTATTTCAACAAGTTGTATTTTAGCACTGCTAACTAATTGTTTAATATCTTCTTTTCCTTCTAAAATTTGCTTCTGTAAGAATAGAAGAACAAAATGCAATTATTTTACAAGGCTATACCTTCATTTTAATTATTACTTGTAGCTATTCAAGTTCATGTGGCACAGAGAGATATACTTTTGTGAAACCCAGAACATGGGCAGGGATCTGTCTAGGTTTTTCTGAGGTACCTATTTTGTGAAAATTTAGACATAATTTGAGAAAATTAAGAATTATATTAAAAAAATCAACATAAAAATATGTATTTATTGTTTCTTAGGGGATACAAAAATAAAATTTTAATAAAAAGTATTTTGTCCTAAAGTTGAATTTGTGAAGGTACCTCTAAACACTAGTAAATTTGGCCTGGACAGACCCCTGATGGGGTAGGTTGTACACTAAAAAACAATGTAAGTTGGACAAGGGCTCCAAGAATTTGAAAAATGTTGGTAGCCAGCAAAAATTTCTGATCGAAGGGATATTAGCACCCCCCCCCCCTCTCTTTGAAATTTTGTGGAATGCATCTATACATAAAATCAAATATTTAATACACAATAAAGTAACAAATTTTTTAAAAAAAATATAAAAATAATAAAAATCTATAGTATGTATAATAAACATCGATTTTAAATTTCGAAGTATTATGTTTTTATGATTATAAATATGTATATTATCTTAGAATTTGTGGTTAAATATAATGAAGTGCACTAATGGTTTTTTTTATTTTGTTTTTACGCAAATTTATAAATTAAGAAACAATTTCATGAAAACTTCCGAGTCTGCAGGACCTGAAAAATTTGAAATCGCGTACCTTACACTAAACTTATGCTATTGCTGTGGATATAAACAAATGTTTCTACTTATTATTATGCTGAAATGAAATTGTATCTAGTGTTTTTTTTTTTTTTTCATTTTTCTATACGAAATGGAAATATCACTGAAATTTCAAATCATACACATTTGAGTAATCACCTTTTGAGAGGCTCAATGTTGTGTCGATTTTATTGTAAATGGTTTTTAAGCAATTATTGTTAGGTCTTTGCACGGTTTTCCGAAATTCCGATTATTTTCAATGAGATGTTATGTCGGGTTAATTTCAAATTACCCATTTGAATGATAACTTTTCGAAACTCACATTCAGTTTATGTTGATTTTGTCATGAATTCACATTGATTTTCGTACCCTACCCCTTATTCGACGTTTATAACCATGAATTTTTACATAATTTTTGCATATCATGTACATAAGTAATCATCTATCAAATTTTTACCTAGATTATTTGATTCCATGTGATTTAACAGCAATTGTTACATATTTTTGCTTGCAAAGTTATTGAAATTGCGAAACATTAATTAAGATATTATTAAACAGGTGAATTTCAAATCGCACATTTGAATAATAATGTTCGATATGCAACAATTTTGTCAATAGTTCACATCGTTATTTAATAACTTTTTCAGAAGCTGTACCTAACAAGAAAAACAATACACTTATCCTTATTTGAATATTTTTATTTTTCAGGTTCTTAAAATAATTATCATGGAAGGATTAGAAGACATCCAGTCCAAAGCTGTTAAGCAAATTATATGTGAAATGAAAGAAATTTACGAAATTTGGAATGAAATTGGGTTAAATACTTTTCAAAAAGAAGAGAGAGTGAAAACTGCTTGGGACCATATTCATGCTTTAGTAAGAGATATAAAAAATGAAGAAATCTGCATTTGTGAAGAGATAAAAGGCAATGTCAGATGTTTAACGGAAAAGGTGTCTGAACTTTCACAAACTTTATCTGTGGAGGCTACTCCGGTTGCCGGTTTAACATACTACCAGAGACTTGAAAAGTTACAGCAAGATTATGATCGATTTAATGATTTAAAAGAACAGAGAATGAAGGATGTGAAAAACCTTAGAATTATTGAGCAAAGTTACTGCAAGCTACTTGATGTGGAAGAATACAAATTTTCCTCTAATACTAATATTCCATCAGAAGCAGATTTGAAGGAGCTTCAACAGCATATAAATATGCTCATTGATGAGCACAACAAGCGGTATGAAATGTATTGTCAGGCTAAGCAGCAGCTTTCTACTATATTGGAAGAAACTGATGGAACCCCTTACGGAACATTAGAAAAGCATATTTGCTCTGAGAAAGAGCCCATTTCCTTGTCAAAAACAACTTTTCAAGAAATAGAAGAAATCATTGCCAGAGCTAAAAAAAGAAAAGAAGAATTGGAAAGTAAAAAGAAAATTCTGACAGATAGGTTAAAACTTCTCTGGAATCGATTAAATATAGATAATGATATTAAAATTGAATTCATGTCTAATCATGTGAACTGTAAAGCTTCAACTTTAGCTGCAATTAAGAGTGAAATTAATAAATACGAAGAAATGAAAAATCAAAACTTGATTTTATATATTGGATCTGCCAGAAAGGAGCTTACTGAATTGTGGGATAAATGTGGAGCTTCAAATTCAGAGAAAAATATGTTTGATCCATATTTTAGTGAAGATGTCACAGAAGGTGTTTTAATTATCCACGAAGAGGAAATTGAAAGATGGAAAAAATATTATGAAGAGGTCTGCCACATTTTGGAAAAAATTGAAAAGAGGAATAAGTTATGGGAACTCTTAAAAGCTCAAGATAATAAAGTCAATGATCCTAATAGATTTAAAAATCGTGGTGGAAACCTTCTTAAAGAGGAAAGGGAACGAAATAAATTGTTAAGAACACTTCCTACTCTTGAACAAGAAATAAATGAAGATATCGAAAAGTATGAAGCTGAGAAGCGGAGGAAATTTTTCTATCTGGGCGAAGATTACAGAATTGTTATTATTAATCAATGGGGACAGCGTATGAGTTGCAAAGAAAATTTGAAACAGGAGAATCATCTGACACCTGCTAAACGGTTTCCTTTTAACACTCCTAAAAAGTCACCTGCTCCAAGATTTGCCATTTATAGATCTGGACTCACTCCAAAAAGTAACTCGAAAGTAAAAAGAGCAGTACAAAAACGCGAACTTGACGTTTTGAAAGAAGTTGGTAGTAAGTTAAATGAAAACCCAACTTGTTCCAATGCCACCACTTATCCAGATTTTGAATTGGATTTAAATAATGCAGCCAGAAAAAGTCTTCGAAGTTCTGCTATTGCATCCAAAAAAATTGGTGGTACTAGGTCACCTATGCATTCTAAAAAAAGAAGAAGTTCTCCTAAGAAACGATCGATAATAGTTGAAGAAGAATTTTGATTTAAATTCAGTTCCGGAAAGGCTGGGTGGCCTTCTTTAATGTGAAGGATATATTTTCAAAAATACTGTAAATTTTGGTCATGGAATTGTGTAAATTTCTTTGGAAATAGTCTTCCTATAGCTTGTTTTTATTTAGCATATGTCCATTTACTAATTCTTTGCTCTAGATTAATTTTAGAGGAATTTTCCTTGAAATTAAAACGAATGAAGTATTTTAAATTTCTTAAGACTGTACTGTAGATTGTGTGTCGATTATTAATTAATTATGTATAGTACACTTTTCTTTTGGTGTTCTGTAGTATTTTATGTTTTGAATATTTTATCTTCATTTTTTGCCTATTGCTGTAAATCAAGGTTTATGATCTGAGNTTTTTTTCTTTCTACAAAAAACGTAAAATGCGGGAAATTCCGTAAATTAAAAACTTACAATCCGGGTAAAATTAACATTGGAGGTATACGGAAAAACTGGGTCCTGATGAAAAAAACGTAAAATGCGGGAAAAACGTAAATTCGGGGGACGTAAAATCGAGGTTTCACTGTAATTAGGATAAGCCCAACTTTCTTCAACATCCCTATGCAAGACATGTTTTTTTACAAAGGGAGGAGGAAGCTAGAGCTCCTATGTATATATATTTTATTTACCTGGAAACAAAAGCATACATATGATTTTTGAACAAAAATTAATAAATTTGACAAAATGAACAAATTGCACTAAATTTTATAAATTAAATCAAGAAATTTTTATATGCTATTGTTGTTACCCTGTTGATTCTAAGAAATAATTATAGTATTATTCACTTTTACGCAAATTTTCTTTTTTATAGGAAATAGCACAAATTCAAAATACATAAAAAAAAAAACAGTTAAATTTTTCAATTAATTGAAATTGAATTTTACATCCTTTTTTTCTGGTGCTCCTCCATAGTTCTAAATTAGTCTAACAGTAAGTGCGGGCCTGATTATAATGCAGGTGACTGCAAAAGTTTGCAAGGCAATAAAGACATTTTCATAAAAATATTACTTATCCATCAATAATGTATTTTCTATCGCTGATGCTCTTTAACATTTTGAGAGTTATTCTTTCTGATAAAATTAAATTTCATAAATATGTTTAAAATCACAAATACTGAATTTTTTGTTAAAAATGTGTGACTTAGTGTCACTATGGTTCACCTTCTTCAGTAGAATAAATGGCAGAGTTAGTAAAAACAGAATAGTCAATATAATAACAGAGTAACTATCTCTATTTTTTATTATTCTTACCATTTATACTAATGATGGTTTATCATAGTGACACCAAAACGCATATAGTTAATAAAAATGTTACCGTTTGATTTTATTATATCACTGAATGAAGGAAATTTGATACTCAACGTTTTAATTCTGTAAAGAAAATGTGTTTTTTTTTTTAAGAGAAAGCTGCAAATATTTTTTAAATTTCTTTCGCGGATTGAATTACTTTTTCTTTTACCATTCTAATCCCATTGAAGATAACATATATGAAAATCAAAATTCACAATTTAGGTGAATATAGATTTCTTCTTTTTGTGATTCACTAAATTTTAATGTTTTTCTTCAATTTCAATGTTCAGTTGCTCTCAGAACTTTACTGAAATTATTTTTGTTGCATTCCTCAGCAATGTCACTAGAAAAATAAACTTGCTTTTATGTAATTCAATTTAAGTTGAGCTCAAACTTTTTGTCATCCTGCATTAAGTATATCACCATTTTCTTTTTCGTAAATGCTGAGTTATTTGATGATTAGAGCTGTAGTATTTCACGGTTAATAAATACTCTATGGTATGACCATAATAGCAGCAGTTCACCCAGATCTTAAAAAAAAGTAAAGACCTATAAAATTTTATATTTATGGGAGAAAAAAAATCTCTTTGAATTGCTTAAAAAATTTTTGGTGGAAAACCTGCTTCAGAATAAATGATAGAAAAAAAATTCTAGTTTCTTATTATTCATTCTAACTTTAATTCTAATTACTTAGTATTTAATTGAATGTTTACCCCCAAGGGTTTAGTTATTTTTAAATAACGTTTTTCTATTGGATAACTTTAACATAGAATTATTTACGGAAAAACAACTGAAAATGCAAAACAAATATGTTTTATAAATAAAAAAAGATTTTCAAATTTATAACCTAAAAACAATAATTAGTACTTAAGTCCCTTCTAGTTAATTGTATATCAGATAATCGAATAATCCATTTATACAAATAAAATTTAGTGATACCTAATTATTTTATTTGAAACCAATGTTAAATGGTTATTTATAGTTGCCAGTTCTCGCGTAGTAATAATAATAAAAAAAAAAAAAAATTTATTTTGTCTGAAATTTTTCACCAGCTGTAGAAAGGAATTTTCCATTTTCAGTTAAGATGAGAATATATTATGATCATTTCAATAGAGACTTCCTATCCGTTTCCAGTCCCCAATTGGTGTCAAGGTAGTTAATGAAAGGTTATAACTACTTTGACAGAGTACAGAAATTTTAATTGAATGAGTCAAAACAGATTTCTTCAGAAGGAAATAATTAGTGCTTTAAATTGTAGATTATACTTTTCATTAGCATTAATTTTTATGCAAATTTAAAAGTCATTTATATTTTTTGAACACTTACAGTTCCATTATAATTGTTTATTAATCATTAAAGTGAGTTTATTTCCTCAAAACATCATAGTATATATTACATGCTATTTCTAAGTAAAATTTATTAAAAGACTAAGTATTCAGGATTGAAAAATCCCCTTATAATACTGAAATATAATCGGGGTTGGCGAGCAGCCCACTAGCTTCTAGTAAAATAAATCAATAAGCAAGTCAAGAAATCATGTTTTAATAGGAAAAATTATGAATTACATCAATTACAAAAAGTCAATTTTTTCTTTCAAAAAGTATTATAAAATATAAAACAAAACGCTTTCTCTAAATATGAAGCACTTTCATTAAACTAATAAAAAATTTTCGAATAAAAATCAGGAAATCTTTAATATTTGTTCATAAAGGCACTTGCGGTTTGTGTTCTTTGGTTAGCAATATTGTCATTATTCGGTTTGTTATGGATTCTAAGCTCTCTTTTATCAGAGAATTTCTATTAAATTCACTGATAAAAATTAGTTTTACTCATTTTAAGTAATAGCCATATAACTATACTTTTAATTAGTGAAGATATTTTGTTGTTTCAACCATTAAATTTTGTTTACAATTTAAGATTTCATTTCTCTACAACTACATATTCTCTTAGCTACTAAAAATTACAAAAATAATACGTTTATAAGACAAACAGGAGTAGAATCAAGAAAATTTAATCACTGGCCTATGGAACAGTGACTAAAAGATATTAGTAGTTTAGATATTACATATTTTCCAAGGTCTGTTTATGAACACCTGTTAGATTTTTGTTTAAAAAAAATATCAGAATTAAAATCACAATATAATATTCACAATTTTTAATCAAACTTGGTATTGTGTGATAATAACAGAAACTAAAATATAAAACAGAAAATCAAAACGACATCTCTTTCCTTTACATTGATTGCTGAACCAGGTGACCACTGAAAATTATTTGATTGTGATCTGCAACATTAATTTTAATAATAAAGATAAAAGGCAAACAAAAATTTTAATACATACTAATAGTTATACAGCAAATATCAAAAACAAAGAAAAAAATTAATATTATGTAAACTTATATTTTCATAAATATATTAAAACAAAAAGCCCAAAAATATTGATCTAAATAGGGATATTTCTGTATCAGCATTTACTAAGGTAACTTCACTTGCTAAGACGTCAAAGGGATTTTAAACTTGCAGACGTTTAAATATATATATACATAGATATTGAGGTTTGCACAAGGGGGACTAGAAGTTATACCCTTCGAGGCAGGAGTGTAGATTATGTACAATCGCAAGAACAATGTTTGGGGAGGGGGGAATTTTTGTAATCTAATTAAAAAAAAAAATACTACAAAATTTTTTATTCTAAAAANGCAACATTAATTTTAATAATAAAGATAAAAGGCAAACAAAAATTTTAATACATACTAATAGTTATACAGCAAATATCAAAAACAAAGAAAAAAATTAATATTATGTAAACTTATATTTTCATAAATATATTAAAACAAAAAGCCCAAAAATATTGATCTAAATAGGGATATTTCTGTATCAGCAGTCACTAAGCTAACTACACTTGCCAAGACGTCAAAGGGATTTTAAACTTGTGGAAATTTAAATATATATATACATAAATATTGAGGTTTGCTCAAGGGGGACTACAAGTTATACCCTTCGAGGCAGGAGTGTAGTTTATGTACAATCGCAAGAACAATGTTTGGGGAGGGGGGAATTTTTGTAATCTAATTTTAAAAAAAAATACTACAAAATTTTTTATTCTAAAAAATTCATGTTGCCTCAAAAGATGTTTTCCTCTAAAAAAAAAAAAAACTGACTTGATGGACAAAATTGATAAGATATTTTCTAAGTTAAATAAAACACAAGCAACTTTATATGTCAATTATTTTGAATTTCTCAAGTATATGAGTAGGATCTTAAATTGAGTAGTTTTTTAAATTATTAATATCTCAATATATTTTGATTTCTGTTATTTTAAAAAAAAAAAGGGTAGCTTATTAGAAAAAATGAAAGGATTTTTTAAAAATCTTTTTGTTACAGAAAAAAAATAATTATAAAACAATTTGAACAATAAACAATCTTTAATTATTAAAATAATTTTGAAAAAGTTATTGAAACTAAAAACTATTACGAGAAAAATTATTAATTATGAGACAATAAAATTATGAGAGATTAAAAAAAACTCTTGGAAAAATATTTTCTCTTCCAAATTATTTTCATTTCTTTTTTTTAATAGAATTCTTTTTTTCTTCAAATTTTTTTCTCTTCCTCCTCTCAGGAAGGTGCAAAACTTGATTATTTTGGAGTAGAGACTAGTATGAAAATCTTCCAGACTAAAAACCAAACTTTCGTTAACAAACCAAAACAGCATGCAATTTATATTGAGATTACAGGTCCAGGGCATCTGTAATCTAAGTATTATTCAGTAAGTATTCAAAAACTGTCGATTTAGCAACCCCCGAGCTCAAAAATGGTATTCGAAATAGTATTCTCTGATAATAAAAGTAGCACATAAGGTAAATAAATCTAATTGTTGTTGTAGTTCATTTACGTCACACTAGAGTTGCAAAACGGGCTATTGGCGACGGTCTGGGAAACATCCCTGAGGATGATCCGAAGACATGCCATCACAATTTTGATCCTCTGCAGAGGGGATGGCACCCCTGCTTCGGTAGCCCAACGATCTGCACGCGAAGTCTAGCACTTTACAATATAATAGTTTGACGAGGACCAATACCGCACACCCTCGGTCCCTACTGAGACTGATCCAAGTGGTCACCTGACTGCAGCCAGTGATGCTTGACTTCGGTAATCTGCTGGGAACCATGTCTTAACAATCAGTCCACTGCAAGACGTAAATAAATCTTAAGAAGGATATAATATACAGAGTGTTCCAGAAAGACTGCCCTTAATTTTTTTAGGCACCTTATCATAAATTAAAATAAAAAAGTAAAAACTTTTGGTGTTGCAAATTATTATTTAATTGGGAAGAAAATGCTATAGAAGTCAGAGAAATCACAGTCAGGAAGGCATGCACGATACAATACAAGATTCTATGTAAATCTGCATGTTTTTTTCCCCTAACATTTTTTTCCTGTACTTATTCATTGCTCCTTTGAGTCATTTCCTATATTTGTAAAATGATGTTATTACTAAACGCGTTTTTGAATTTGAGAATTAAAAATTACATGTGAAAAATTATATTGAAAAATCAACACAAAAATATGGTAAAAATATGAATTTATAGTTTCTTAAGGGATTCAAAATAAAATTTTAAGAAAAAGTATTTTGTAAAACTATTGTTTTTCTTAAAGTTGAATTTGTGAAACTACCGTTTTTCTTAAAGTTGAATTTGTGAAGGGTGTTAAACGGTAGTAAATTAGGCCTAGGCAGACCCCTGCTTAGTCACCTACCCTTTATTTAAGTAACAAATAGATTTTACTCGCCAATGGAAGCTATGGATACACCAAGCGAAGGTTCGGTGGTCCCGAGCCATCATTAATTTTTAGTCCCGATAAGAATAAAAAAGCAAGTACAATTTTAATTACATATTAATAGTTACACAATTGTCAAAACAAAAAAACTGAATAAAAAAATAATCAGGGATGATAGTGACACTAAGTGAAAAACTTCGAAAATTTTATGTACAAAAAATCCATATCAAGATATACATACTATACATGTTTTGTATTTAACATAATATTTTGAAATAAGAGATATAATTAAATTATCTTCCAATGAAGAATACCACACCTTTATATTAACTAATTTAAGAAAAATTTTCGTCCCTACTAGGATTTAGATGTTGGATCTTTAAAATCTCATGAATACGAATCACAATATTGTATTTTAAAATTGCGCGGATATGAGTTGTGCTATTGGGTTTTGAAAACACATGAATAAGAGTTGTGTTGCTGGAATTTAAATTCTCGTTCAAATCGTGCAACTGGATTTCTTAATCACATGAATTACAATGGGTAACTTTTAAATTAGGTAAATACGAAAATCGATATTCGAACCGCGTGAATAAAAATTCTATTATCAAAGGATTCCACCGCAGTTCCAAATATTTAAAAATCTTCCAAAACAGAAGAATTAAATAAGATTCCTACCCATAGATGGAAGAATTACATGCAGCGTCTTGTTAATGGCAAATTAGTGAAAGATTTAAAATTTGATTTCTAGATTGTGGAATTCTGTGAAAATTTTGTCAGATTATAAGTTTTTGATTACCGAAAGTCCAAGAACCAATGGTCTCGAGAAATACGGAATTCCGAGATATACCCAGAAAAATCACAAGGTCTGCTTCCAATATTTAAACTCTGAAAAATAATAAGAAAAACCCATAATTATGGGATGCCGCCAGAATATAATCACCCCTGAATAATGTTATCATAAAAACTATTGTATATTTTCATTAAAATGTAATTAAAACACCCAAAAGCATTGATTTTGATGGGAATAATTGTGTCTCTGTATCTGTTTCGTACACTTATCATCAAGGTGCAAGAAAGATTTTAAACTGGCAAAAAAGATATCTAGAAGTTTATTAAAAAAAGTGTTATAATCTGAAAGTTGGTTAATTCCTTTAATTTTTCCATTGTTATTTTCTGGTTGTCTAGCATCCCAGAAGTTGCCACAATTTGGCAATTATTTTGGTGTTAATACCGATACAGAAATTTTTCCCAATTCTCCTAAAACTATAATTTTTAAGAAAAAATATATAAAAATCAAAGTAATAAAAAAAAACAAACTTTTTTATAAATATACTGATTATTAAAACATAATAAAAAACCACCAACAATAAACTCCCGATTGATCTAAATTACAACTTAGAAAAGTGTGGACGTTTTTCGGTTTTTGTTATTGTAGCTTCAGCAGCTTTTAATACATCTTCACTTTGTAGCATCGTCATATTCCAGTATGTCATGAACTCCAATCCCTCTTTTACGGAATGATCTCTAGAATAGGTCAATGCCTTTTTGGTACCCTGCACTGCAACTGGACTTTTACGGGCAATAATTCCTGCTAAATGATTCGTTGCTTTAAACATTTCATCTCTGGAAGGAAATACTTTGCTAACAATGCCAATTTCTTTAGCTATTTCTGAACTCATATTTTCGCAACTATAAATATATTCTCTCAGCAAACTGTCATTACCAACAGATTTCGGTAATCTTTGCAATATGCCAACATCAGCTGCAATGCCAATATCAATCTCCTTAATAGAAAAATAAGCATCTTCTGAACAGTAGCGAATATCACAAGCTGCAATAAGATTAACTCCTGCTCCAATACAGGCACCATGGACTGCTGCAATTACAGGTTTCTGGCAATCTTCCACTGCAGTGAATGATTGTTGAAATTGTTCAACAATCGAATGTAAATATTTTGCTTTTCGAGCAATATCTTCCTTGCTCAGAACTTTAGAGGTAATATCTAACATATCGGTGAAATCTAATCCAGCAGAAAATGCCTTACCAGCACCAGAGATAATGGCGACCCTGCAATATTGGTCATTTCTTATTTTTTTAAAACAGTCTCTAATTTCTTGCCAAAACATTTTGTTCATGGCATTTAAGCATTCTGGTCGATTAAGCTGAACGTGCAAGACATGATCTTGATCAGATGTGACTGAAAGGGTTTCATATTCATAAATTGCAGTACTGGCCATGGCTCTTTTATTAATACTCATTTGTTTTAACCCAGATGCAAGCAAATATTTCGTCGTGGTTTGAAAAGATTTAAAGGCTAAAGTAAAAACCATTATCATAAATACTTGGCTTATTTAATGTCTCAATCTAAAGTTACTAAAAATAAATGTAAAGTTCTGGGTCCGATTTCATATCTTGTTATGATAGTTTTTCTGACAGTCATCCTCCTGAAAAACCGTTCCAAAACTGATAAAAAAGTTATAATACTGTAAAAACTGAAACCAGATGAAATCATCGGTATCGACTCATATTATACGGACGCAGAACTGGTGGAGGGGATGTATCAAATAAATTTTGTATCAAATAAATCAATTTCACATTAAAAATGACGGCTGAAAAATTAAGTTTGAAATTTGTCATGTTTTCCATACAATATCATTCAAACTTCTGCCTAGAATAAAAATTTCTATTATTATAATTAAATCAATTATTTGATTTCATAACTTTAACTGCCTCTCTCTCGTAAGACAAATGTCAACAAACAGCAGTTTCTGACTTGAATTGCGTGTGTATATTTTTTGTTTTAATTTTTGAAATTAGCTAAATATAATTCTATAACTTATGAAATTTTTATGTTTTTCTAGTGCTCTTTAATATCCTTAAATTTGTTATTGATTTGACATGAGCTTCTTTCAAAGCATTAATTATTTTTATGGGCTTTGATCATTGATCTACCACTGATTTGATAACTTTCGTATATAGCGTAAGTTACTATTTTGTAATATTGCAAGTTATTTTATAATAGTTATGTAGTTTTTTTTATGCAATCAGTGACGTATCTAGCGTTTAAAGAATCACCATTGCTTCTTAAACTATTTAATTAAGCTCTATTTAAGGCGTTGATAGGATTCAAATAGTTTAAAAACCGGTACTCTTAAAATATTTTTGATATTTTTTAGAAGAAAAAAAAGTAATTATTATTGAACATAATAGGAACATAAACTGGGAGGCTTAAAAAGCATTTATTTTATTTGTTTTAAAATAATTATTTTTTAAATATTTCCAATTAAGAACTTTTGGTTTTTTCTTATTTTTCCCACTTTCACTCGAGTATCATTGGCACTGTGGTTAAGTCATAGCCATTTTATATCCGAGTCTTTCTGAGGTAATTTCACGAAAGAAAATATCTTTTCAACCGAAATGTTTTTACAGTCTGTTTCCTTTGTACATACAAACGGAAATATAATGCCTTTTTCAGTTTATGTAGAATTTACTGTGGCAGTTCTCAGAGTAATCTTTGCCTTTTGTATGATTTTATGAATGTATTTCATGAATTATATGTTTGTCCATTGTTCCCAAATAATTTTCAATATGATCGAAATGGCAAAAAAAAAAAAAAAAANAAAAAAAAAAAAAAAAAAAAAAAAAAAAAAAAAAAAATTCAGAGGCAATTGATGGTTTGCTTCTTTTCAAGGAACAACTACAACTTTGATTTTCCAATATTTCAGTTCCAGATATTTTATGAAACCTAGCAGATTCTGATCAGAACCTTTATCACACATTAATGTATTATCAGTGTTCATTTAATCAGATTTTAAGATTTTAAAACATGCTTAATATCTATTTTTCAAAACTTTTTTTCTCCAACTTTTCAAAATTTTGAATCAACTTTTGCTTGAATTGTGTGTTATTTCGGATATGATTTTGATCAATTTTGAAGATAACTTCATGATGCCCCCTCAGCAATCATCTTTTTAAGATTATGGCTTAACTATAAATTAGGAATATTTGATTTCCTCATCTGTGGGAGCTAACTGTACATTGCACTGAACCTTATTTTTTTGGCTTATGGCTATGGTAAGATGTGGTAAAAAAACATTTAATGGTGGTTATTTAAAGTAAAAAAATAGTCGAGTGAATGAAATGGAAATTTTTGATTTTCCTCATTTTTGAGAGCTAATCTCATGCTGCCCCAAACTTTTTTTTTAAGATTATGGATAAAATTAAGGTGTTCAAAAAAACTATAAGGTGGTTAACTGTGGAAAAGTAATGCAATTAGAATTTTTGATTTTCCTTATTTCGGGGAGTTAAGTTCACTCTCACAGTGCCCTCAAACTTTATTTTTAAGATGAAGTAAGGTTGGTAAAAGACAAACAACTGCTCCAAAACAAGAAAATCTGTTTCATATTACTATTTGGCACCTAAAAAAAAAGTACTATTTTTTTTAATAAACGACTTGAATTGTAGTTTTAAAATTTTTTTATTAAAACACTTTTAGTTAATATAGTTACTTTAGTTTAGTTAGTAATAGCTCATAAAGATATTTTTTCTTTGTACATAAAGTGGTATGCATAATTATAAGAGCTGTAAAATTATCATCTACTAAAAACTAAAAAAAACATTCTATATTAGAAAGCAAAATCAAAAGTAGGAAGGGATGGGGTAGGTTGGACCATGCTCACTAATTTTATATGTTATTAAATCAGGGGTCTGTCTAAACTGAATTTACTACCGTTTAGCGGTACCTTCACAAATTCAACTTTAGGAAAAACGGTAGTTTCACAAATTTAATTTTAGGAAAAACGGTAGTTTCACAAAATACTTTTTCTTAAAATTTTATTTTTGTATTCCTTAAGAAATGATCAATCCATATTCTTGCCATATTTTTGTGTTGGATTTTTAAATATAATTTTTTATTTTTCACAAATTATGTCTAAATTTTCACAAAATAGGTACCTCTCAGAAAAACCTAGACAGACCCCTGTAAATATTTTTGTTTGATTTTTACCTTATGTTACAACACTAGTACTACAAATCATATGGACAAATTAGTTAGCACAGTTAAAATGTGCCTTTTTTATTTCAAAGCTATATTTTAGCATTGCTAAGTAATTTTTTCAATTCTACTGTATTAGGTGCCTTCTAAAATTTCTTTCAATAAGAATAGATCAAGAAATTGCAATTATTTTACATTACCTTTAATTTAGTAAATAGCAGTAGCTATTTAAAGTTGTGCAATAAGACAAGAAATTACTGTGAAATTTAGAGAAAATCTTTCAGTTATTCTTTTTTAAAAATTCAACTTGCATAAGTCTGAAATGAAAAATAACAAAATTTCAGAAAACAAAATCTAATAAATATGCCTTAAAAATGTTTAAAAAATTATTTTAAATTTATCTACTCTACAAATTTGCATTAGTTATGTTTTCAAAAACTATGCTTAACTATAAAATTTGTCAGAAATATTGCTTTTTACCTTTTGTTAAACTGTTACAAAATTTTGAGTTATGGAAAATTGTTCAAAAGAAGGCATTTTAAGCAGAATATCTACTACTTATATTCAACTTTAAAAAGAATTACACAAATTTGCTGTGTGTTTAGATTTAAAAATAAAAAAATGTATCAAACATTTAATTTTTGTAAAAGAGTTAGTACTAAGAACAAAATTTTTACTGGCATAAGATTTTGAGATTGTGTTTGTATGTTTTTTATCTATTAATGTTCAGTAGTGAATTAAATTTATGCGATGCAATGGTAAGGATGGTCGTGATCCACGTTGGTTACTGCTAAGGTTTTTTTAATTTTATTTATTATTTTTTCAAATGAGTCCAAAAATATTTTTAACGTTACTTTTTAAAAAGAATCTTACAAAGTGAGAAATATGCAATTTATCTTGTGGAGAAAAATTATGTGGATAATTTTTTTATGAATTAAAAAACAATAACTACAATATGGACCAACTGATGGACTTCCCAAATTTATTTTTCAATTTGAGATTTTTAAAGAAAAATATTAAGTCTAATATTCAGGATATCGATTTTTATCGCAATTTATAAGAATAATATATGTTTCTTTTGTGTACTTGTAAATAACTTAGTATTTAGTGATTGGTTTATAAATATTCATGTTAAATGTGTCTGGCATTTTGTAATTTTTGCTTATATTTCCAGAATTTTCTGAAAAGAATGAGATTTTACAATGAGTGAACCATCCAATTTACATAGATTAGAAGGGAGTAGCAATGAAGTTGGTGGACTGTTTGTAAAGAAGAAATCAAGTGATGATGAACTGTTCAAGGTTCCTGCTCCAAGAAAACTGAAATCCTTGTTAGGGCTTGATGTTCTTGCTGAACAGCGTCGAAAAGAAAGAGAATCCTCCCAAGAAAGAGAAAAATCAGTTGTTGATGTAAAAAATAGGGATGTAGAAAATAGACATGATCATCACAAGAGAAAATATAGGTCATCAAATGAAGAAACTCCTACATACACTGGAGGAGTGAACGATGAATACTTTAAGCGTATGCACTCTCGGCAGAAACGAGATAAAGAAAGAGGATTGTATATTTCTTCAAAACATGAAAGACATAAAAAGAACAAAGAGCGTCGTTCTAGCTCCGAACGTAAACGCTTCCATGAAAAATCTGGTAGGGACAGTAAGAGATCTTATCACAGTGGATCTTCTAGAAGAGAAGATGAATCTCCATATCGTGATGAACCACCATCTCCTAGAATTCATCCCAGAGATTCACCTTCTAGATCTGGATGGGATGAAGATGATACACCTATTCACAAATCTTCATGGGACATGCCATCACCAAGGAGGTCACCAGATAGGAAAAGTGAACGTAGCTATCGTAGTAGCAAAACACCATATGATTCTCCAAATCCAACTCCTGCTTACAAATATAATGAATGGATGTATGACAGGAAACGTTCTGGAGCAACACCTCGGACATCTGAGAGAAACGAAAATCTTCCCTGGTCAACTGAAGATGAGAAACAAGATTGGGAAGAGGAGAATAAAAGAATTGATAGAGAGTGGTATAGTCTTGATGAAGGATATGATGAAAATCAAAATCCATTCGCTGGTATGTCTGCCGAATACACAAAAAAGAAAGAAGAAGCTTTAGAGCAGAAGAAAAAGAAACGAATGTCAGCACAGCAAAGACAAATCCACAAAGATAATGAAAAGTGGGAAACAAATAGAATGTTAACTAGTGGTGTAGTTCAAAAACTTGATTATGATGAAGATTTTGAAGAGGATAATGAAGCACGTGTTCATCTACTGGTACAAAATGTAGTGCCACCTTTTTTGGATGGCAGAATTGTTTTTACGAAACAACCTGAACCAATTGTACCTGTTAAAGATCCCACTTCTGATATGGCTATTATAGCTCGTAAAGGTTGTCTTGCTGTTCGAACTTTCAGAGAGCAAAAAGAAAGGAAAAAAGCCCAAAAGAAAGAATGGGAATTGGCAGGAACTAGACTAGGTGATATAATGGGTATAAAAAAGGTTGATGAAACAGATGAAAAAAATGTAGAGGATAATACTAATTATAAAGAAGACCATAAATTTGCTGAACACATGAAAAATAAGTCAGAAGCTACAAGCGACTTTGCACGTAAGAAATCTATTTTACAACAACGACAGTTTTTGCCAGCCTTTGCTGTTCGACAAGAATTGCTAAATGTTATTCGTGACAATAGTGTTATAATTATAGTTGGTGAAACTGGATCCGGAAAAACAACACAGCTAACTCAGTATTTACATGAGGATGGTTATAGTAAATATGGTATGATTGGTTGCACACAGCCTCGAAGAGTTGCAGCTATGTCAGTTGCTAAACGTGTGTCAGATGAAATGCATGTTCAGCTAGGAGAAGAAGTAGGTTATGCCATACGATTTGAAGATTGCACGAGTGAAAAAACTATTATAAAATATATGACAGATGGTATTCTTTTAAGAGAATCTCTGAGAGAATCAGATTTGGATAATTATAGTGCAATTATTATGGATGAAGCTCATGAACGTTCCCTAAATACTGATGTTTTATTTGGTTTGCTGAGGGAAATAGTTGCCCATCGTCAAGATCTTAAGTTAATTGTAACATCAGCCACTATGGATGCAACAAAATTTTCAAATTTCTTCGGGAATGTCCCTACTTTCACTATACCTGGACGAACTTTCCCTGTTGAACTTTTTTTTAGTAAAAATCCTGTTGAAGATTATGTTAATGCTGCTGTTAATCAAGTGTTGCAAATACATTTGCAGCCAACATTTGGTGATATATTAGTGTTCATGCCAGGCCAGGAGGATATTGAAGTGACATGTGAGTTGGTTGCTGAAAGATTGGGTGCAATTGAAAATGCTCCCCAATTGGCTATCTTACCAATATACTCTCAGTTACCTAGTGATTTACAAGCCAAGATTTTTCAGAAAGCTCCAGATGGTGTGCGTAAATGTGTTGTTGCCACTAATATTGCTGAAACTTCTTTGACCGTAGATGGTATTATGTTTGTTGTTGACAGTGGATATTGCAAACTCAAAGTTTATAATCCCAGGATTGGTATGGATGCTCTTCAGATATATCCAATTAGTCAAGCAAATGCAAACCAAAGATCAGGCAGAGCAGGGCGTACAGGTCCTGGTAATTGCTTTCGCTTGTATACAGAGTCACAATATAAAAATGAGTTGCTAGTTACAACTGTTCCTGAAATTCAAAGAACTAATCTAGCTAATGTAGTACTTTTACTTAAATCTCTTGGTGTTCAAGACCTGTTGCAGTTTCATTTTATGGACCCTCCCCCTCAAGACAACATGTTAAATTCTATGTACCAGCTTTGGATTCTTGGCGCTTTAGATAATATAGGAAGTTTAACTTCTCTGGGCAGAAGTATGATTGAATTTCCTTTAGATCCTCCTCTTTCTAAAATGTTGATTGTATCTTGTGATATGCAGTGCAGCTCTGAAATTCTAATTATTGTCTCAATGCTATCAGTTCCAGCAATATTCTACAGACCAAAAGGTCGTGAAGAAGAAAGTGATCTGGCTCGAGAGAAATTTCAAGTTCCAGAAAGTGATCATCTTACATTTCTGAATGTGTATATTCAATGGAAACAACACAACTTTTCATCTTCTTGGTGTAATGAACATTTCATCCATGTAAAGGCGATGCGCAAAGTTCGGGAAGTCCGACAACAGTTGAAAGAAATTATGGTACAGCAAAAATTGCCCATTGTTTCTTGTGGTAACGAATGGGATGTTGTAAGAAAGTGTATTTGTTCTGCCTATTTCCATCAAGCTGCTAGACTAAAAGGTATTGGTGAATATGTGAACTGCCGAACAGGTATGCCCTGTCATTTACATCCGACCAGTGCACTTTTTGGTATGGGTTTTACCCCGGATTATATTGTTTATCATGAACTTGTTATGACAAGTAAAGAATATATGCAATGTGTTACTTCAGTAGATGGTCATTGGCTTGCTGAGTTAGGACCTATGTTTTACAGTATCAAAGAATCATCATTGTCAAGAATTCAAAATCGCAAACTTGCTAAAATGAGTCAGACTCAGATGGAAGAGGAAATGATACTTGCTGAAAGGGAAATTAAGGATAAGAAAAGGCGAGAGGAAGAAATAATAGAGTCTGCTCGAAAAAGAAAACAAATTTCAACTCCTGGCCGTAATGATTCATCAACTCCTAGACGAAGACCAGAACGATTTGGATTATAGAAGAATTAAAATTTATAAAAGAAAAAGACTTAAAGTTTTTTTTTTTTCAATTTACATTGTTGTATATATGTTATGCACTACGTCGTTGACTAACATGCTTTTGTATCAAATATAGAGCATATATTTAACATAATTTTAAACTGTGTTTTTATATTTATTGAATTTTTGTAGTACTTAAGACATTTTATTATAATTTATAATTAAGTTGATTTAAGACTTATAACAAACATCAGCATGCTATTCATGATATGATCTGAATGAGTATATAGGTATTTAAAAGTATAAAATTTAAACTATATAAAGTATACTGCTTAAAAATGGAATTATATAATCAATAATGTATTAATATTAGTTATCTGAATTATGTTTACTGTGTTTGAAATTATAGTATGGGATTCACTGGTCCAAAATAACTTTAGTCTAATTAGGACTACAAAACTTAATCTTTAGTGGTCCACGAGCCAGTCACTTGTAATAGACATCAAGTACAAATATGTTGACAAAAAGAGGTATAATTCATCTTTTAAAGCAACCAGAGAATGCTATTTAATGTGTAATGAATAATTAGCTTTTAAAACATCAGCCGAATCAATTTTTTTCCGCTTTGTCCTTTGTCATTGAAATATATATTTATTTCTTTTTGTTCAATTATCTCTATTGATTAGATTATAAGTTTAAATATTTAAGTCAGCTTCAAGCTTAAAAATGAAGTTAGCAGATTTGTTAGAACAAAAATGAGCAAAATTCCATTCCAAGTTCGAAATATGTGCTTTATAAATGTTAAATTTAAATGATTAACTTTTTGTGGACCAGTCAGAATTTTTTTTCCAGCTATAATGTTCCATGCCTCTTCCTTACTTTTACGTATACATGCGTGAGCATGACCAGTTTCTTTGAGGTACGTACGTATAAGTGAAGATTAGGGGATGCAAAACATAATTGCTGAAAGTCTCTATTTATATACAGGTGAGTAAAAATATACTGGTCTAATAAATCAGCTTTTTAATTTCAAAATAAATGAAATGTGCTATATACTATAAATTAAGTTGTAAAATGTAGTGTACCAGAAGTATAATGTATTTTAACATGTTTCTTGATTTTTTACTCTGTTTCTGATATTTCTGACATAAAAATTTTTTTGTATTAAATGTTTGCTTTTTTTCTTTTTTCTTTTTAAAAAAAAAAAAAAAAAAACAATCTGCAAGTATTTATTAAATTGAAAGTTCTCTTCTTGTCAAACTGATTAAGTTTTGATTTTTTTAAAATTGGATAATGAATTTTTTTAATTATGTGTAATAAATATAAGCTAAGTATATTTTATGCAAAACATTGGATTGTCATATATGTTTGTACTAATTAGATTTATTATATTTTAATTAAAATGAAAAAATTTTTTTGATTACTTTTTAGTTTTCATTATTACTTTGTTTAAAGAAATATTAAGGTATTTTATTTTTTAATTTTTTTTCTTTTTATTCAAAATTAATTTAAGTTTATTAAACTTCTTATTACAAATTTAAAATGTTTTTGAGCTAATTCTCAAGTCATTATCTGACTTGTTAATCATTGTTTAAATGGTGCGGATTTTGAACCTTTTGATATTTTTTTGTAAATAATATTAAATAATAATTTGAAACTTAATTTGAAATATTTAATATGGTATTAAAAATTCTTGACCTAAAGAAAATAAAGTGAAATAAATAAGTAAATAATTCTATAAACAAAAAGAGAAAAAATGAAATTTTTAATAATATTTCTTCTAATTTTTAGAAAATTTTCTCTTCGGATTTGTCAAAAATTGCATCCTCAAAAGTATTTTTCTTTTTGAATACTAAGTTATATTATCGTAACTTCTGAAATTTTTATTCATAGTAATGTTAAAATTTCTTGATAATTTTGATCTGAAATAAAGTTTTTAAATTCAATCCTTATATATTTGTTAGTTTCTTTCAATTTTTTTAATAGTTATATCTTTGCAAAATTTAGTATTTTATAATTTCAAATAAAAATTTTACTTAGATGATAATTGTATAACCAGATTTACTCGATGAATTATATAACCAGAAAAAAACTGCAAAATTGGCAACTTTTTTAAAGAACATTCTAACTCAGTTACTTTTACCTTTTTTGTTAAGCAAGAATTTATGAACTCGAGACAAATAGTTATGTCAACAGCCCCTGCCCAAATGCTGGCAACTTATTTTTTTGTCACAAAAATTATCTGCATTTTTTAGATAATTGAATTTAAAAAGTAAGCGTGCTAATAGTCGACCTTTTTTGAAAAAAGTGTTTTTTTTTAAATTAAATTTTTAAATTTTTTTATTACAGAGTTATAAAAGATAATGAAGTTGACTTTATTGCTCAGTTTTATTTATCACTAAATGAATCTTATTGTTGTAATGCTTTAAATTCTTCAGTAAAATACTTATTCAATTTGAAATTCTTGTTAATGTAGAAATCATCCTAGTTTTCATTTGACATTGGCAATTAAAAGTTAAGCTAGGAGAAATTTACTGTATTATAAACAAAGCTATGAATTATAGTGAACTGTGTTAAAAATTAAGCTATAAGAAATGTTATACAGTTTAATGTTTTTTTTTTTAATCTGCTCGTGATAAGTATGCCCTAAGTGAAGTAAAATCATGTCCAACTTTCTGAGAATTAGTTTGAGACATGACATTTTTTTTGCCTAATTTGACTGTGCTATTATTAACCATCATAATTGGCGCTTATCGAATTTTCATTTGCTAGCTCTTTAATTTTATATAAATGTTTTGAATGTGTTATAGACCTTTATCTTCAAGTAACACACGATGTGCTTGAATCAGACAAGAATTATCAAGCAAGACAGTGAATATAGGTATCCAGTAGCTTACTGTGGTAGCAAATTATACTGCCACTCATCCATATCTTAACTCTCTTAATTGTCTCAGGTGTGGTGATATTTTCAAATTTAAGTTGTCATACAATACTATTTTTGAATGCTATTTAACGTGTTTTTATAATTTTTTCGTTAGTAGTCGTTAATACATTTTTATGTACAATGATGTCAATCTTTAATTCCACTAGATCAGCGGTTTTCAATTTTTTTCTAGTATGCAAATGATCGACTTTAGTTTGGTGGAGTCCTGACTTAATGAATTAAGTTCAAAAACAGATCTGAACATATCAATCAAAAATACTAATTATTCTGAAACTATTTAATTGGAAAATATTCAATTTTTAATAATTTTATTCCATTTTTCATTCCATTCATTTCCATTTAATCAGATTAAGCCAGATTTTATATCAGACAGTTTAGATCGCTGGTCTGGAATATAGTTCTGAATTTCTTTTTGGTGTAAACATCACCTGAAAATTTATAAAATAAGTTGTGAATTATGGTTTGTGTTAAAATGAAAACGAAAAGGAACTGTTATAAAGTTGAGAAGGATTATCAGAAAAACACTTCTTTATCGATGAATTTAGTTTTATTTTCGATAGAAAAATTCGATGGGAAATACAAATGCAAATTATAATAAATGCGTATTTTTTTTTTCTATATTTATTATATATATATTTTCTTCTCCAGCATTTTGCTTTAATCATTTCAGGAAAATAACCAAATAGTAGTGATTTAATGGAGTATTAATGTAATTAAAAAATTGATTAAATATTCTAATTCTCGGGACCTTAGGGTTCCGTGGAACACCTTTTGGGAACCACTGTTCTAGATTCTATTAAAATATTTTGAAGGGGATTTAATTTCATTTAAAATTCTCTAATCATAATGTATTTATGTAGCTCTCATACTTAGGAAGTATATAAATTATGTGAAATTTTTAATCTACTGCATTAAAAAAATATTTATTTTGGCGTAAGTTAATTTCATTTAGAACCTTATAGTGATTTTTCTTTATTAGTTCATTTTCTTTTCATTAATACATTCATCAATTCATTTCTTTTATGTATTATGTAAACCTTTTAATCCACTACATATTTAAAATATCAGCTTGGTGAAAATCTTTATTTTGGTGAGAATTATTTTCATTTAGAACATTATTGTTTTTTCTTTAATACTCATCAATTCATTTCTGATGTGTAATTAAGTAATTCTTTAAATCTACCACATATTGTAAATATCAATGTGGGGGTAAATCTTTATTTTAGGGTGAATTAATTTAGAACTTAACAACATTTTATTCTTTAATATCCATCAGTTCATTTCTTTTATGTATTATGTTAATCTTTTAATCTACTGCATATTGTAAATATCGACGTGGTAAAAATCTTTATTTTGGTGAGGAATCAATAAGCATCGACGACCTTTTTGCTTTGAAAGATTAAATTGTTTTCTTTTTTTATGTAATATTAGAACCAGTATCTTTGTTATCAAATATCTTGGAATTGTGTTAAAGCATATTTTGTTTTAAAAGTATTGAACAGTTTAATTTAGAACTTAATAACATTTTATTCTTTAATATCCATCAGTTCATTTCTTTTATGTATTATGTAAATCTTTTAATCTGTTGCATATTGTAAATATCAACTTGGTAAAAATCTTTATTTTGGTGAGGAATCAATAAGCATCAACGACTTTTTTGCTTTGATAGATTCTATTGTTTTCGTTTTTTTTTCCCTGTAATATTCGAGCAAGTATCTTTGTTATCAAATTTCTTGGAATTGTTGTGTTAAAGCATATTTTGTTTTAAAAGTATTGAACAGTTTAATTTAGAACTTAATAACATTTTATTCTTTAATATCTATCAATTCATTTCTTTTATGTATTTTGTAAATCTTTTAATCTGCTGCATATTGTAAATATCGACCTGGTAAAAATCTTTATTTTGGTGAGGAATCAATAAGCATCGACGACCTTTTTGCATTGAAAGATTAAATTGTTTTCGTTTTTTTTAATTTTTTTATGTAATATTCGAGCAAGTATCTTTGTTATCAAATATCTTGGAATTGTTGTGTTAAATTATAGTTTGTTTTAAAAATATTGAACAAAGTATTTCTGATGGTATGGAATAACTATTTGTATGTGTCACAGCAGTGTATAATGCCGATATTGTTGTAAATTGTAAATACATTTTATAATAAGATTTTAAAAATAAAAAAAAATTGTTACAATTAATTTGTCACTCATTTTATTTTTATTTCAGTTTTTTTTTTAAAGTTTTAAATAGTTTTTGAAACAGCAATTTATTGAATTAGTCAAGCTCTGCATTGTGCTTGGAAAATGATGACGTACTCTCGTAAAAAGGGCTGAATTAGTTTCTTCCTGGTCGCCTTGGTAATTAAATAATTGAAATAAAAAACGAAATTGTAATAAATCCTAGCTTAAAGTTAAACAAAATCAGGAAGGGATTTTTCAAAGTTGCTCTTAGAGCTTAAAAATATAAGCACAAGCTTGGCAAAACTCTTTAAAAAAAAAAATCTTTATCTAACTGGTTTTAAAGCAGAGTAACACAAAAAAACTCCCCTCCCCCCATGNGATTTTTCAAAGTTGCTCTTAGAGCTTAAAAATATAAGCACAAGCTTGGCAAAACTCTTTAAAAAAAAATCTTTATCTAACTGGTTTTAAAGCAGAGTAACACAAAAAAACTCCCCGCCCCCCCATGAACAATATTGCGTTATAAACTTATAGAGAAAAGCATTTTCCTGCAACAAACTAATTACATTATTTCAATTCGATTAATATATTTTCTAACTTTTATTTCTAAATTTTTTGTTGGGACTCTTGGCAATAAACTTTTTGAGAGCGTAAAAATAGATCTTAAACGGTGACTGGCCATTTAATGATCAATCGTTAAAATGACGATCCGATAGAGGGCGCACAAAGCAGGATAAACAACATTTAGGCGTAACTATGGAGACGTTCTTCATAGTCTACTCTATAAGTATCTCTTTTCCCTCTATATTATTATAATATTTATATCTTCTGTAGTAGTAAGTGGATTTATTCTGCACATTTTTAGAGAAATAAAATCAAGAAGTCTTCTAAATACCTATGGCAGCAATCTACGGTCGGGTAAGTAAGATTTTGAATTTTAATCGATGGATGCGAATGGAGTGTATTTTTAGTACGTATTTATGAAGACTTAAAAGCAATCTTTTGTTTCGAATTTTTCCCCTGTATGTGATTTATTTTCAAAAAACTTTTTTTTACTAATAAAAGATAAATAACTTGTGCTTTAATGTACAGTTTTTCATTCGAATTGCACTAAATTGATAGAATATTTTTAAATAAAAAGGAAAAAAAGATTTTTTTAATATAATTTTATGGATTTAGCATTATTAAGAATCGGCTAATGTTCATTGCACAAATTGATTAACTTCATAAGACAAAAAGTGAAAAATACGATGAAGAAATGTATATAGTTTTTTAAAATTTCTTTTTTAATATAAATATTTTATGAAAATTCTCGTCATTTAGATGGTTTACTCTTTATTCGCGAAATTTATTCTAAATATAAAAAAAAGCTATGACTAACCCTAGAGTATTGACCGTTGAAATATTGTAAGAAGTCGAGTTAATCGATTTGCGCACTGAACAGCTTTACATGGAGAGTAAATACATGAAATTATACATTAAAAAAATACTGTCGCTGTTTTTAAAGAGAGGTCTAGGGATTCTAGTTTTTATGCTCCCCCTCCTTCCAAAAAAAAAAACTAAAATCTGGACTACGTTTTTATCTGAAATTCATACCCCAACCAATGTGGTACAAAATGTGTGTAAGGGAGTATAAGATAAAACTACTGAAAGAAAAATTAGCATCACAATATGCATGTGTTCAGTATGTGTTATCTATCATGATGTTACGTATAGAATTTATATTACATAGGAGGAAATATTTTTTCATAATTATAAAAATACACAAAAAATTACTATTCTAATAGTTCCGTAAAATTGGATATTTTTTCGGAAAAATTAGAACCCAGCATTTTTATTTAATGGAAAGCTTTTTTAAGTCCTTATTAATGATACATAGAAACTCTTTATTCTCCTTTGTATACTTCATCCCCTCTCTTTTTTTATTTTTGAGGGAAAAGCAGGGGATTTCTTCTAGACAGGCAAGCAAGACATTGTTTTCGATGTATTTTTTTCACGCTGAATTAAAAGAAACCATTTTCTACACTATCGGTCTAATAGTTTAAAAGTTATAAAGGTTTTATGCACGAGAAGGAAAATTTTGTACTTATACCTTACATACACACCTGACATTGCTATCTAAACAAGAGAGACAGTGTTTCTGATGAACTTTTTCATGCTGAATTTAATGAAATAAAACAAGAATCGGTATTATAAATAACTGAAAAGTTATAAGGGTTTTGCGTACAAAAATTACAAATTTGTGCGATCTCTTTTTTACGCATCTGACATGCTATACAAAAAAGTTAACCATTGTTTCTTATGTATTTTCCCCCCGCTTGTTCGAATAACAGCAAACACGAGTCAAAAGAATTTAAAACGTTGCAATGGGTTTCTTTAGTATCGAAAGTACTATTTTTGAACTATACTTATTATGAAGAAACCCCTTGTAACTTTGAAACTACTTATTCTAACTCAAATTTTAACTCATTCAATTCAGAATGAAAAATTATATCGGAAAATGTACTTAGTATGTTTAGATAGCAAAGTTAAAAGTATAAGCAAGTACACGTCAAAAGTATTTTTACGCATGCAAAATTTGAACAATTTGCTCTATTGACTCGTGAATAACCTCTTTCGATTTAACGTTGAGTTAATATTAATAGAGTAAATTATATTTTAAATTCTTTTATATAATTAGAAATTTAACTTCTTCTACATTTATTTTTTAAAATTTTGCAACGATTTAAAAAATTAAAAAATAGTTGAAAAAAGGTTTGTTTTAAAGACATACGCAAAAAAAAAGAAATTTTTTTATAAAGATTTTGAAAAATTGATTTCAGAGTTGGAAAAAGTTAACCTCATAGATACAAATTTCTAATCGTTAATGTTTAATTTTATTCAAAAAATTTAAAAAGATGTCAGACAACATTTTGGTGTATATCTGAAAATATATTTAAAAAAAAAATCTTATTTTCGTAAAAATTTGCATAAGAGTTTATTATGTGTTGCCGACCGTGTAGGTTGTTTAAACAAGCTACAAAAGTATTAAGCCCATCAACAACTCAAATTTTGCTCTATCATATTATTTATCTTTCTGTTCCCACTATAACGTCATGATTATTACCATTGAATTCGTGCCGTTATCGTCTTGTTATCATTGTTTCTGACAAACTTAGATGCATTTTTATATAACCAGGGGGCTATCATATTATTTATTATTTTTGTATTCCCACTAATATCATGATTCATTCCATTGAATTCTGGAAAACAATGTATTTTTTGTAAGATGAAAAAACTGTATGTAGACAAATAAATAGCAATATTTAAAAAATGTCCCGAAACAAAGTTTTTTCTTTCTTTTTTTAAAATTATGCATTATCAGGATTCTTTAAATTTTTGACATTTTTTTTTGTTGCTTTTCATGGCTTTTGTATTAATTTCCGTCCCATAATGTGTGTATTGTTTTAAATTCCCTTCTGACATGGATTCTAAAAACATGCAAAAAATATTAAGGGCGGTCATTCTGGAAAACAATGTATTTTTTGTAAGATAAGGTATCTAAATAAGATAAGATTGTATACAAATAAATGGATTGTCTTTGTAAGATAAGATAGACAAACAAATAGCAATATTTAAAAAATGTCCCGAAACAAGATTTTTTTCTTTCTTCCTTTTTTAAAAAAAATTATGCATTATTAGTATTCTTTTTTTTCCACAGTTTTTTTGTATTTTTTCTAAGTTTAGATAACAGAATGTAGACAAATAAGTATCAATATTTAAAAAGCGTACCAAAGCAAAGTTACTTCCCCTCTTTTTTTAAAATTGTACATAATCAGTATTCTTTAAAATTTTCAGATTTTTTTTCTTCCGTGACTTTCACATTCATTTGCGTCCCGTAATGAGTATACTTTTTTTTACTCTACTTTTGACAAGGATTCTAAAAGTATGCAAAAATATTTAGGGTTGTCATTATAAAATATCATGAATGTTTTATAGGACAAGAAAACAGAATGTGGATAAATAAATAGCAATATTTTAAAAACGACCCTAAACAAGGTAGTTTTCTTTTCTTTTTTCTATAAATTATTCACCAGTATCAGTATATTTTTCATACGATGCGATATCAAAATGTAGACAAATGAATATCAATATTTAAAAAAGGCAACCATACTAGTTTTTGTTGCTCTTCAAAAAAATTATAACTTTTTTTTCTTAAAATTTTCATTTTTATTTTTGTTCCTCCATGGCTTACACCTTATTTGCGTCCTGTAAAGTGTTGACTTTTTGATTCTACTTTTGACAGGGTTTCTAATAGTATATTTTAAGGTTGGTCCTTACAAACATTCAGTATTTTTATCGGATTAGGTAACAAGAATTAAACAGATGAATAGAAATTTATAAAAAATGATTAAAAATTGAAGAAAACACCTCTACTTTTTTTTTTTTTTAAATTATGGATTATCAGTATTCTTTAAAATGTTTTTGTTTCTCCCCAGGAACATATTAATTAGAGACTCTTAATGTGTTTACTTGAAAAAAAAATGCGGTTTTAAAACTCCCAGCTGGGTGGGTTGTGCAAAACCATAAAACTTAAGAAGTAAATCCGTAGCCTCAATGGTATTTTACCAGACAAGAACAAGTTTTTCCCGTAATAGTTACAAAAAATCCGCAATCAAAACGGTTTTTTACAATACAAAAGAAAAAGTTTTCTCCGTAAAAATTATAAAAGGAAAAAAAAAACTAAAAAAAAACGTAGACAAAAAGTTTTTTATTCTTTTTTCTCCACATACCAAAGTTAGTTTTTTCTGTAAAAGTTAATCTGAAGTTAAAACGGAATTTTTTTCTATCGGAGCAAATTTATTCTGTGAGAGTAAAAAAGTAAATTTGTACTTGAACATAATATGAATATTTTACGTCTGCACGGCTGCCGGTATGCGCGGGAAGCAGAATTCGTATCGACCAGTCATCCCTGGGATTCGAACCTGCGTCTCCTACTCAGGAGACGAGCGATCTGACATTTGAGTCATTGCAGATCCAGTGATTTAAGATTTTTTTTTATTTTGTTTTGTAACTGGTGTCAAACAGCTGCTCCAATTTTGTGTTTACGACTATCAATGTTCAAATTTCTGTATTTACTTTTGAACCCTATTCCGAAGACAAGGGAACTCCTGGATCAAGCATGGGGAAGAAATAACTTTCGCAAAAGACTTTTATGATGGAATTGACCAGCATTTGCGTTACGTGAAGCTAAAAACCATGATAACCATCCATGGTTAGCCCGATGGTAAGAAGATTTTACTTTATGACTCGTCTACCACTGCGAATATTTTACGTCAGCACTGTGGTCGGTGCGAGCCGGGAGCAGAATCCGTATTAACCAATCATCGCTTGGATTCTAACTTGGGGCACCTCATTGGGAAGCGAACGTTGTATTCTTTGTGTGTTTTATAATTTTAATTTTATAAGCGTCGTTTATTTTATAGCCCGACCCAATTTTGAGTTTACGACTACCAATGACTCCGTAACCTTGTAATTTCAAACCCAATCCAGAAGAGAAGGGAATTCCTGGATCAAATATTGAGAAAAATTTTGCCTTTATGTAGGAATTTTGTTTGAACTAACCTGCATTTGCGTAACATGGAGAGAAAAACAACGAAAACCTCCCACAGTTAGCCTAACGGCATGGGACTCTAAACCATGATCCGTCTATCACTGAGGATATGTCAACACTGTGTGATTGATGTGAGCAGTGTGTAGAATTCATATCGACCACCCATCGCTAGGATTATAGGGTCACTTTATTGTGCGTTTTATCCCCTCAGTTACCGCGGCTTCAGTGCTTTATTATTTTATTTTAACCGTCGTTGAACAGCCGACCCAGTTTTTGGGTTGATTGCTACTTATATTCAACTCCGAAGCCTTGTGATTTTGAACCC